GCATTTTTGTTTCAATTGAAGTTGTTTTCTATTCTATTACAATTCATTTGAAATTATGAATAAACAAATAAGACTTCAAGGCAAATGTTTCATGATGTCATGCAACTTTATATATCTTCATATTGTCTATGTGCTTGATAATATCAAATAAGAAAAAAGGATATTGTTGCTAGTTATAAAATTTAAGCTGTTAGTATGGCAATAGAGATAATATCCAATGATTTCTTTTCTCTTCTGCAAGTATTCTTAAACATTTTACGATCTTTTTCTCTGTAAACGCTGAATGCTTGGTCAAAGGCATTTTTTATGAATTTATAGTCTACTGAATAATAGAGAAAGAAAAAAAAAACATACATATAAAGTATTTTGTTCTAAAATCAGACAATACCATTTGATCACTGGTTTTGATTCGGCACTACGAATAATGATTGTTCATGGTTTAGTTCTTCTATTACTTTTATCAATAGTACCTAGTAATAGTCTTATGTGCCATGAATGTGCATGTGATAACACTGATATAACTGGATGCTATTGTGGTGTAACAAGCACTGACTTTGATGGTGATTATTGTATTATCGCTGAAGAAAGATTTACCGATGTAACATATATTCAGCTAACGCGAGTTCCTCGTAATACAACTTGGGTTTATGTTGAGGATCCTTACTACATTCTTTTGCAAGAATCTATTAGGTACAATAAAACAGCAAATGACTGGTATCTATGGACAAGTGCTGCTATATTTGGGTGTGATTGGGATCTTTGTAATTCCCCAAACTTGATCAATAGGTTACCTATTTCATTCAACTTATCTATTGAAAAAAACTGGTTACAAACAAATATTTATGGTACAGGTTCTGTTAGTCAGTGTCACCATTGTCCATTCGAACAGTGTGGTGATTCAGCAAATCCCATTGATTTCACTCAATGTCCAATGACACCTTGTGTCAATGTGTCTACAGTAAAAAGACCTTCTAATTAATGAAATCAATCCTTTTATGATTTCATTAAGTAGCTTTTTAGTATCAACAAATTATGTTTTTTGTTTTATTTTAGTGTTTAGTTTATGATTTATGGAATGATTTTGATACAGGTGAAGAATGTTATCAATCACAATGCGCACCAGCATATCTAGATGAAGACGTAGCTCAACTTTTTGGTGGTAAATATAGAATTGATATCGAAGCGATCGTTTATTTAGCACAAGATCGTTCAAAATATTATCTTTGGGAAATGGATGTATATTGTGGTGCCTATAATTGTACTCGACCAACTATTTTTTCCGAAATACAAAGTAAACTTACCTATACAATTGGTGATCTATCTATTTATCCACTTGTTCGACCTACAACAACTCAACCACCACCAACTGCAACTACACCTATAGCAAATCCTCTTATATGCTATAGTTGTGAATGTAATGGTGCAGGAGGATGTCCATGTTCATCAACTGTTGTCATGTCATTGGATGATACTTATTGTGTTATTGCACGAGAAAATCGTGGTCAAGATGTTACTATTAAATTAACTTATCTTGATTATTATGCAAGTTATAATTATATTCTTGATGCACCATTTGTCGTTGTTGAAGAAACGATTAGCTATGATGAAAGAGGTGTTCGTTGGATTACTACACCAAGTTTTGTTCTTTATGGATGTAATTGGAATTTATGTAACAAGCCAGAACTCATATCCCTTCTACCAAATACTTTTCAAATGCGTCTTCCAGAATCATGGTTGAATACAAATATTTTAGGTACTGGACAACCAGCACGTGATTGTCATGAATGTCCAGATTCTGCATATTGTACTACAATTGATTTTATTGATGTTAGTCGATGTCCAATTCATTCATGCAACACTACTTGTCGTGTTTCAGATACATTTAATGATCCATCCTTTCAGCTTTTCTGTTATCAATCATTTTGCCTCTCACCTCTTGATGATCAATATAATCTTAATCATCATCGTGTTGAAATTGAAGGCCTTGTTTATGCTAATGAACCAAATGATGTGAAAATATGGGAAATAGATCTTTATTGTCGTGGTGATGACTGTTCACGTCCTGAATTATTTAAAGAACTTCGTGAACAATTAACTCTAATACCTGGTAACCTTGCTGCTTTATTTAATGAAACATATGATCCATCGATACCACAACGACGATGTTATGATTGCGTTTGTTTTGATGAACAAAATTGTGATTGTGGTAGAAGTACAATCATGAACGCAGATTCAACTTATTGTATGATTGTGCGCGAAAATTATGGTCAAAATAGTTGGGTCGTTATGGGACATCTTGATCAAGACTCAACTCGTGTTCATATTCGTGATCTTCCTTATATACTTCTTGAAGAAACAATCTTTTACAATGAGAAAACAGGACGATGGGATACTGTTACCAATTTTGCTGCTTATGGATGTGATTGGGATTTATGTAATCATCCTAATCTTATAAAATCTCTTCCAAGAACATTTGAAATGCGTCTTCCAGAATCATGGTTGAATACAAATATTCGAGGTACTGGACAACCAGCACGTAATTGTCATGAATGTCCAGATGCTCCACAATGTGGTACATCTGATTTTCTTGATGCTAGTCGATGTCCAATTCATTCATGTGATACTACTTGTTATGTTTCGGATACTTTTGATGATCCATCAACTGGTGAATTATGTTATCAATCATATTGTGCAGATCCAAATGAAGAAGATTATGATCCTGATGCATTTCAAGTAGATATTGAGGGTATATTATATCTTTATAAACAACCACGTGATGTTGAGTTATGGGAAGTTGATATTTATTGTCGTGCTGATGATTGTTCTCGACCAGAAATATTTAAAGAAGTGAGTCATTGAAATAGATGGAAATAGAAACTAATCAAAAATCATTGTATATTTCAGCTAAGATCCAACTTGACTTTGGTAGTAGGTGATTTAAGCGCATTTGATGAATTATTATCCACGACTACACAACGGCCTGTGACTCAGCCAACCACGACAAATCCAGTAGTGACCGAGTCAACAACATCCAATGCATCAATTTTCACTAGTATAAATTTATTTAGTATTCTGCTAATATCAATTCTTCTATTTAATTTGCATTGACTAATCTTTTTTTCATAATGTTTTACTTATTGAACTACAGATTTTGCGTGAGAATACAATGAATCTGTTTTTGTTGTTTTTTTGACAACCGCCTCCGCCTTTTTATTATTGTCAATAAATCAGGCAATTACATCAAATAAACAAGGATGACGTCGGTTGTTTTTTGAATTGGAAGAAACGTGAACAAATACTAAAACGATCTACATACAACCGCCTGAGTTTTCAACAATGCCAAGCGGAACCGACACCATTACTAGAATTAGATAAGCACACAAGCATAGGTTTTATGCTACTGATAAGCGATAATATTTTGATTTTTTCTTCCTTGTTCTTTTTTGTATATGTTGAATGAACTAGTTTATTTGTAAGAATCTATCTATCATCAAAGATGATAATTGAAAACTTGGATGTTTCAAATAATAAAAATAGTTGATAGAGTTTCAGTATTATTTACAGCTCTCACTCAAACAGATATCTTCGAAAAAAAATATATACTACTCTTGTATGACATTATGATTCACTGAGTTGAATCAGTTAGTGAATGGAAAAGCTAAACTCTTTCATTTAAGATAGTTTCTCCTTAAGTTTTGATCTTAATTACAACATGTTCTTTACAAATTGCAATCAATAATAATAATATCAGAGATCTTATTACACTATCAATTCACAAAGTAATAAAAGTAGATGAATAAATCTACAACAAATAGTTACGACTAACATATCAAGCATATGAATATATTGTTCATCTAAAGCTTATCAGAACTCTAAATTGATGTATGAAGTTTTTATTAAATTACTATAACATTCTGAAAGTTTTAGAGTGAAGTTGTCTTCAAGAATATTGAATCATGATGTTCTTCATTATTTTTTTTCAAAAGTGATTTGTTTAGTTCATACTTATTCCAAATAGAACACTAAAAGTTGACATGTATTTTAAACTCTTCTATTATGCACTTAATCGAATGATGCCATTAGTATATTTTGTTTATGCCTGTAAAGAATATTGAAAAAATATGACATGTAATATCATAGATAGATATCATTGAATTCGAGTTGTAGCAGTTTAGATGAAATCTAAAAGCATCGATCAGATATTAGTCTCTTCAACTTTAATCTAATGATGTCCTGAAAAAACGTAGTGTATTTCATCTCTTTCATTCTTATCTAACGAATTAATTATTCAATGATATGAGAAAAAAAAAGATTTAGACTGCTTAACTGAAATAATCTCTGTCAACTCTCGTATATTTATGACATATAATTATCTATAGACTTTTTATTTCAATGATCAGTTATAAATGAAAGAAAGTAATCTGTTGTCGTTTTATGGCATGCCAAATTCGTTTCAATAAAATAAAGATGATGCAAGCTTTACCATGGTTACTTAGAGAATGTCTCTCTTATCTAGCGAAACGTATTGTATTATATTATTTTATGATTGTTAACCTTGATCAAAGTGAAAGAACTATTTTTTATGGGTTTTTAGATTATAAAAATGCGTGTGAAAGACATACCACCAGTATATAATGGTCTGTAATTGTTGTGTTTTTCATTTATTTTGAATAATATACGTTTCAGTTGTTTTATATCCATTAATAAAAATGATTATCCAATGGCTATTTTTAGTACTGGTACTATGGATAAGACCAAGCAACAGTCTTATCTGTTACCAATGCTCGTGCCCATCTTCTGATACATCTGCTTGCAACTGTTCTAACACATCTGATGTTGAAGGTTCACATTGTATCATTGCTGAAGAATTACATTCATCTAACCCATATGTAAAATTATCTTATAGTTTTCTTAATCCATCGCACATTCGAATAAAAGATTCTCATTATATCATATTAGACGAATCCATTTTTTACAATGAGATAACAAATGATTGGGAAATGAAAACGAAACGCATTGTTTACGGATGTGATTGGAATTATTGTAATGAATATTCTTTAATATCACTGTTACCTGATTCATTCAAATTAACTATGAATAAAAAGTGGCTTAATGAAAATATTTATGGTAATGGATCAGTTCATGCTTGTCATACTTGTTCAAATGAGATGTGTGGCAATCGAAGACATCATATTAATTATGATCAATGTGCATTTGCATCATGTAATAATCCCACTACAGTACGTATTGAGATAAAAAATATTCAATTAAAATTTAAAAGAAAAATATTTTCTAGTGTTCACTCTATAATGTATGGCATGATGTTGAGACAGATGAATTGTGTTATCAATCAGAATGTACAAAATCAGTGTTGATAGGTGAGTCTAGTGAAGACAATCAAAAATATAAAGTTCAAGTCGAAGCTATTGTTTATTTATCACAAAATCGTTCAAATTTTGAAATTTGGAAATTAAATATCAATTGTGCTGCTCATGATTGTACTCGTTCAAGTATTTTTCAAGAAGTAAAAGGACAAATTAAAAATGATATCACTAAGTTAATGGCTTTTCCAGCAGTTCGTCTTTCGAGAACAGCATCAACTGTACAATCTATACAACCAACACTTTCATGTTATGAATGTGCATGTTATGATGATCCTGCTTGCACGTGCAATATAGTTCAACCATTTGATGCTTCTTTAAGTTATTGTACAATTGTACGTGTAAATTTTGAAAGTGGCCATTTTACAGTTGATTTAGAACATATTAATCGAAATTCAACTCGAGTTCATATACGTAAATTTCCTTTTTTACTTGCAGAAGAATCGATACTTTATAATGAAACTACTAAAGAATGGACAACTCGAACTAATATTTTAGTTTATGGCTGTAATTGGCATTTATGTAATCATCCTAGTCTTGTTACATTACTTCCCAATAGTTTTAAAATGACTTTAAGTGACGAATGGTTGAATGAAAATATTTTAGATAATGGAACAAGCATGCGCGCTTGTCATGAATGTCCAGGTGCTCCTACATGTGGTACAATTGATTTCATTGATGCTAGTCGATGTCCAATTCATTCATGTAACACAACTTGTGTAGTTTCAGATTTATTTGATGATCCATCAACTGGTGAACTATGTTATGAATCATATTGCAGTTCAACTGAAGCAGAACTTACAGAATATCAACATCGCGTTGAATTGGAAGGTATTATCTATGGTGATCAACCAGATATTGTTGAATTATGGGAAATCGATCTTTATTGTCGAGCTGATGATTGCTCACGACCAGAGCTTTTTAATGAAATTCGAGAAAATTTAACACTCGAAACAGAGAATATTACACTTCTTTTGGATAATTCATCTCAACCAATAGTTGAACCACAAATTATCTGTTATGATTGCTTTTGTTATGATGATCCTAATTGTACATGTGATAAATATACAGTGTCTAGTGCCTTATCAAGTTATTGTACTATTATACGAGAAAATTATGGTGAAGACTTTTTTATTGCTTTAGAACATATAAATCGAAACTCAACTCGTGTTTACATACGTGAATTTCCATATCTACTTGTGGAAGAATCAATTATTTATGATGAAAAAACAGGATGGTGGAATACAAGAAATAATATTGTTGTTTTCGGATGTAATTGGGATTATTGTAATGATCCTCGTCTTGTACCATATCTTCCCAATAGTTTTCAAATGCGTCTTCCAGAAACATGGCTTAATTCCAATGTTTTAGGTAATGGTGAACCTGCACGTAATTGTCATGAATGTCCAGATGCTCCTCAATGCGGTACCAATGACTTTCTCGACATTAGTCGATGCCCAATTCATTCATGCAACACTACTTGTCTGGTCTCGGATACATTTGATGACCCCTTATCTGGTGAACAATGTTATCAATCATTTTGTGCACCGCCTGATTCAGAGTTTTTCACAATAGATCCACATCGAGTAGAACTCGAAGGTGTTATATATGCCCGTCATCCTAGAAAGGTTGAATTATGGGAAATTGATGTTTTCTGTCGCGCTGATGATTGTTCTCGACCAGAAATATTTAAAGAAGTGAGTCTTTTAAAAAAGAAATTAAATTTTCGAAACGAATCATGACTTTAAAAATGTTTTAGATTAGACAACATCTCTGTGTAGATTTGGGCGATTACACTCTCTTTTTGGGTAATACATCAACAGTGGGACAGGATAATGATACGACTATATGTCCAGCAACTACAACAACTAAAACTACAACATTGATAACTACAACATCCACAACAGCAACAGCAACAATATCTATGACTACAACATTTACAACTACGACATTCAGAATTACAACACCCAGACCTACGACATCCAGAACTACACCGTCAGCTATTGTAAATACCACAACATCAGCGACATCTGCATCGGTAACATCTGGAACGACAAGTAAGGTTGAACAAACAACAACTGCACCATATGAAACAACGACTACAGCAAAATCAAGTCCATCAACCTATATAGCATATGACATTCTTCTCCCATTTTTGTTGCTGGTCTCTCTAATTAATTTATATTGAACATGACATACAAAATGAATAGCAAATATAAAGAGAAAACAGGAAACATTGTATTGTTTTTAGAGTTAAGTGATTGATTTTTTTTAAATATCAAGAAATGTTGATGAAATACATGTTTTTTTTTTCTTTCTTATCAGAATAAAAATAAATCCATAAAATTGAATCGATAAATTAATAAAATTTAACATGAATTCGTTCATAATCTGAATCGAAGAGGCGTATACAAAAAGTAAGATTTTCTTGATAAAAAAAAGTCATAAAGACAAGTAAGTAATCGTTTTTTATATTATTCTGTTGGTTTTAGAAATAAAGAATCAAGAAAATGAATTTAATCAATAACATCAGAGAAATGAAAATAATCGAAAATTTTTGAAATCTTATATTGCTGTAATTATTATGCTAGATCTTATCTTTTGAATATATCAATTGTCTTTTGACCATGAGGTCCTATACATAGAGACTTAAGTTATAAGAAAATACTTTAAACAAAAGCAGAAAATTTAAAGAACCAAATCTTCTTTGCATCAGTGATTTTCTTTTTATTGGAAGTTGATAAAAGACAGAAAAACTCAACTATTTCCCTTTGTTTGATCCGTCTATATTGGATATATGCTCAATTTTTAGTATGATTAATCATTCTTACTATTCATTTCAATCTTTTAATTAATATTCAATCGATTTTATGTAAACATAATTGTCTTTTATGATAATTTGCAGTCGTTTGTAAATTAATTTAGCAATCGGATTTTTTTTTTTGAATCACATAAAATTCCTGTTTGCCTATGTGCCCATCGAAATGAATTTGTTCATCAACGAGAGATAACATTTCGTTTATGACATATTCAAGAAAATGTTGCTATTAATGATGGGATACTAGTTTAGATAGTAAATTTTATTGATAGGCCTGAAAGAAATAATATATTATCGATGAAATCGGATGATGTTGATACTCATCAATGTTTATTGTACTCCATGAGAATTTTTCTTTATCATCAAAAGATACACTCATAAAATGTATGCGATACTTTTTGTTTCAATGACTATCGTATACTTTTCTTCTGTTCATTCTACTTTTAATATAGGTATTTATCTTTATGTTACTTCAATGTCTGAATTATTTAATTATTGGACATTTATGTAATATTTTTTACATAGTGTAGCTAATAAAAAATTTTATCTTTCATTGATCTTGGATTATTTTATTGTTTTGCAAGTATATTTCTTTCTGTTGTTGTTTTTTATGATGATTCGAGATCGATTGTAAATTTGATCAATTACTGGCGCATAAAAAGAAAAAAAAAGGGAAAGTTTATAACGTAATAATAGATGCTTAACAAATATGACATTATTTATCGTACATTATAAAACGAGTAGTTGGTAAAAATACAGTACAAAGACAAAAAGCAAAATTTTCTATTATCAAGAATTGACAGTCGATTAACACATGATGAATAAGTATTGGAAAAATAAATTGAAACCATCCGAAAAGTTTCATTAAGATTTTCTATTGTTACGAATGAATAATTGCTCTAAAAGATCAAGTATTCGATATCATTATGTTATTTTCTATAGCATATGGATTAATTTCTGTTTTGATCATCTAAAAGTTTTATTTGTTTTTCTCTGCACCATACAGATATAAAACACTTTATTTTTTTGCTTTGGTAAAAAGATGGAAATTCGTATATATATTTTTTTTAATAATAAAATTTAATTATAATAAATGGGGATAAACATTTCTTGCTAAAATTGATGATTGTTTTATAGCCTTATACTAATATATATTCTCAAATAGTAGTAGCAGCAGCAAAGAAGTTGCTTAAACACAAAAATATAAAATGGTATACATAAATAAAACATACACAAATACACGCACAGAGAATGAAAAAAAAAGGAAGTGATGATGATGATGATCGCTGACAATGTTCTTCTTGCTGTGCATTGTATTTGATAGAACGTGTTTGTGCATATAAAAGAAAAGAAAAGGGATGATGATTGAGGAATAAACATGTATAGAAAGTAAACGAAAAGAAGAAAGAAAGAAAGGCAGGAAAAACATGACGAGTAACAAACATTGATTTTTCTATTGTTTGTAAAATTTTGAAATAAAATTCTTCTAAACAATCATGTCGATTCATTCGGAAACGGGCCTTGAAGAAGAGCACGAACAAAAACTTCATAATTAAACATGCCTTCGGCATCATCTTTTGTATTTGTTGAACGAAGAATTTCTTCAACAGCTCGTGGATCAAGTTTTTCAGCCATAGCAACAAGTACTTGTGTAAGTTCAGCTAATGACATTAAACCATTACTTTCTTTATCGAATAATTTCAAACCTTCCATAAAGTCTTCATATGTTCCAAAATTTTTAGCTGGCATTTTATAAAATTCTGAATAAATTGGAAGAAATTCTTCGACTTTTATTGTTTTTTCACCAGTTTTTTTCGTTTGGCCACGTTTCTCACACTCAGCTTGTGTTGGATATAAACCAAGTGAACGGAGCATATCTCCAATATAATGTGCATCGACTTTTCCCTTTATTATGAAAATGATTTATATTGAATTTATCAAAAATAAAAATAAAATCTTACTTCATATTTCTTATCGAATACTTCAAAGACTTGTTTAGCTTCATCAACTTTATCACTGGGTAAATCGGCCATCGTTATTGCTGTTGCTTGGCTTGTTGTTCTTAGTGCGTCCGGAAGATGTTAAGATGTAAAGAGAACGACGACAGTAGTGATAAGTAGTAGTAGCAACACAAGAGGAGAAAAATATAGACAAAGAAACGCAAAAGATATCAATCCGTTTTTCTATTGCTATCAGAGAAGGCAGAGAGTGGAAATAGGAAAAAAGAAGAGGTTATTTCTGTCTATATGTTATCCAATCGTCGCTTGTCTCTTCTTCAGAACTATTTTTTTTTCCTTTTGCGGTAATGGTACTAACGGTTGATAGTAATCATCTTTAACAACTCGTTGGATATAATCAATAAAGCAAAAGAAAGCAAAAAGAATGGATGAATTGGATTATTGGATACTATTAGAAAAAAAAATTTTTTAGCTTCTTTTTCTCTACAATTAAATGGATATATTTGGTTTAGAGTTTTCTTTTATTAAGAAATAGATAAAATTTCTTTTGTATTTCGTATTTTTTTTATTCGCTTTGTCATGTCGTCCTCGTTAGTTCTGTTATTGTTGTTGTTGTTGTTGTTGTGTTTGTCAACTTAAGTACAAAAACAAAAAAGCCTTGGTAGTATATTGTTGCTATTGCTGCTGTTTCTTGCTCTTTTAGCGCCGACGACTATATGCTGTGTGTTCGACAACCTTGGACTATGCTGTACGCATGATGATATCGTCTCTCTTGCAGAACGGAATACATATGTATGTACACAATAGCAAAATTGTCCAGCTTGAGTTGTTGTTATTGTGGATAGAGACGGCAAAAGATAAAGAAAGAGTATATCTAAATAAGGGAAACTGAACCATATGGGTCTATCATGTTCAGAAAATTCACCATTTTGTGTCTATATATCTATATGTTCGGATCAGTGAAGCAAAAGAATACAAGTTTAATAATCTATCAGAAAAGAATAAAAGAAACTTCGAATAATTCTCTATATTGATTATGAAACGTAAACATTTTTACCCTTTAACCTTAACTTATGATAGCTAATATAAAAGAAATTTTGTAGATGGATATTACATTATGAATAAGAAAGAGTAGTTGCGTTGATGTCTATTTAATGAGCAGATCGAATATAAAAATTATCTCTCAATGTCTTGATTTAAAAAAATCATACAAAAAACTAGAAATTCAAGATGGAATGTTAATCATAAATCTTCAATACGAATTCTATGTTTTGATATCAACAAAATGTTTCACTAGAATTGTTAAAAAATCATTTCTATCTGTGTTAAACAATAAATGAGAAAGAAATAATACATAGGATTCAGTAAAATCATTTACTTATATCAAACAATAATCTTTAGAGGATTCAATTGCTCAAAAAGTAAATGATGATGAAGGAAAATTACATACAAATAAAATATTAAAATATTAATAAAAAAAATATTATCCATGATTCATATAATTTATAGTAAAATATATAAGATAAATTCTTTTTCTTCTACGATAATACAAGAATAGAAATACTCAAGAGAATATATGAATAAATATAAAAATAACGTAAGAAAAAGAGAATTTCATTAGTTTTCAGATAAAAAACAAGGCGCATATATATGAACGATATATATACATATCAATAAAAATAGCAAAGCGGAAAAAAGTGAAAAAATTTTGTTCAACTATTTTCTATTACATGATAGCAAAGTTTTATTTAATTTGTCTACTAGATACTATAAATCGGATTTCAGAATATGAGTTTGATTGATCCATGAGAACCTTATTTTATATAAATTCGATTGGATTTAACATTAATTCTTGACAACACGGTGAGAATAAATAAATAATACTGTAATCTGAAAACAATATATAACTTTGATTTAAACTTATTCCTATATATGTAAACTATAAAACGATTTATAATTGTGAAGTGAATCAAAGTAGAAAGTTTCAGAAAAATTTGAGAATTAAAATATTATCTAAAATAGTTATGTTTTTGGTACAGAAGTATTCATGTAACAGTATTCGATGAGTTCTATTTCAGTTCTAACAATACAGAATAAAAAAACAAAAAGAAATCCATGTTGAAATGATATATCTATAGTAGAGAAAATCAATTAATTCAACATATTCTTCATTTGTTTCCTATACTTATCATAATTAATTATATTGAAATTTTGCAGGATAGATACTATTGAATGCTTATCTTTTCAATGATTTTAAGATTATGTTGAGTTCTTATTGTTATGTGTATTTTCAAAAGATATAATCGACATTATGTGACACATTATAATATTCGTAACTTGACGATTTTGTCGATTCAAAAAAATCATCCACAAGTTTTCAACCGCAATAGTTAATTGTAAAATGAAAAAATA